AAAATATCTTAATGACCTTAGAATTGAGTTATCCTAGGCTCGTTAGATTCCTCTCGTTGAGACTCTCGATTCGACTTTAAATATGTTAAATTTTGAGTTTATTTGACCTTTCAATTAATGATCTAAAGCCTATAAGTTTGCTTCAACTGTGTGATATGAGCTTGATTGGACCCGGATTAAAAGAATTTCAGAGTTGTTTGGCTCGTCTTACCAAGATTGGTTGGTTTGACTGTGAACTTGTTGAAATCAAAGTCGGGATAACCTTGAATTTGAATTTAGAATATGTATTATTTAATAATACATTAAGATTCATGCTAGATGATAATAATCTCTTGATGATACAACATAAATAATATATCTTTGTATTAATGATACTTTGGAAAGGCGAACAGAGAGATAAAGAAAGGGACAAATCTTTTATATATATATATGAGATAATGGATGATATTTATTACTATTAATTTTTTTTTTCAAGAAATAATAATTGAATTGAGAATATGTGACTAAAGCTCAAGACCACAATAATAAAACTACAGATATGACCTATAAGGCTAAAGTCTAGTTCTCTAAAGTTCACTTGATATAATTTTCTTATAAATTTATTTTACATATTATTTTTATTTTTCTATTTATGTATTATCTTTTAATTTTTGAAAATTTTCATAGTGATATAGAGCTTTTGACATCATTTATGACAGACTATTTAGTTAAAAAGATCATATATTTGATTATTTAAGAAAAAAATATCTAAATAACTTAACATTCATATTTATAAGCATAGCAAATAAATTTTTTAAATATGAATTTTATTTCCTTTTTAAAAGTTAATACAACTTCAGACCCAGATAGAGTCGAGCCCCCCACACCCTCTCGAGCCTCAAATTTAAATTTTTACTTATATGAAAGTACAATTTTAGATTTTGCTCATTTGTCATTGACCTCCTGAGGTATTAGTTTTGCCCTTCAATGTCTTAGCCCCTCCCACGTTAGGTCCAGTGAGTCAGTTTGCACCCTTAACAAAGTGGTTGGTTCCGCTGTTAAAATTATTACACACATAAATTTATAAGACCGAAATAATATAAATTATAAATATATAAGTTTTGAAATTAAATATATAGATACATAAAAAAATATGAAGTATATATAAATATTTTCCTCTTAAAAAAATTAGTTTCATGTGGAAATAGTGTAGTTGGAAAAGTCTCATACCCCTATGTTTGATGCCTAATTTACCACTTCATTATTAAAAGCTTGTTTGTCAACAAGTATTTGGAATTTGTGGTATGTTAAATATTGTGTATACTGTATTTAATATTCAAAAGTTTTTTTTTATCTTATATTTTGTTGAATCAGGTAAAAAGATAATCAAACATTTAGAATCCATTGCATTCATGACATTTTTTTTAGCCAAATAGCCCTGAAAATAAATTTAAAATACTTCGACAGCGTTCTCTCCCTCTCAAATAGGGTCGTAAACGATTCGAGCTTGGGCTCAAGCTTGACCTAACACATGTTTGAAATTGCTCGTGAACAGAGTTCGTGTTTGGCTCAATTTACACATTCATGTTTGTATTCAGGTCGTGTTCGGCTCGAAATTGACCAATTTAAATTAATTAGAAAAATAAATTGTGGGTATTGAATTTGAATCTGCACCATTCCTCTACAATAAAAGGCATAAAATCACATGGCTAACAAAACTCTTAATCCACCTTACTAAAGCTTTAGGGTCCGTTTGGGGAAGCTATTTGGTTCTGCTATTTGGTTCGGCATTCTGCTGGTGGGGGGACGTGAATCTGGTGGAACGTAGGCCGCGGGACGAA